CCCCCCCTCCCCCTCCCCTTCCTGACAGGGACTTCCAAGCGCAGGTGGAATTAATTTAAGGTGTGTGTGTGTGGTGTGGTGTGTGTGTGCGTGTGCAAAGCAAAGAACAATAGCAAGATAACTCAGCAGGTAAAAGCACTTGCCACCATTCCTGAAGATCTGAGTTCAGTTCCAGAGTCTTAAATCCTACTTGGAAGGAGAGAACTGACGACCCCTAAAAGTTGTCCTCTTACTTCCACCACACATACATATACACACCATCACCACCACACACATACACCATCACCACCACACACATACACCATCACCACCACACAAACACCACACACACACCATCACACACACACATCACACACCATCACCACCACACACATACACCATCACCACCACACAAACACCACACACACACCATCACACACACACATCACACACCATCACCACCACACACATACCACACATACATACCATCGCCACCACACACACACATACACACACACATCACCACCACACACACCCCATCACCACACACACACACCACACATACACATCATCGCCACCACCACACACACACCATCACCAGCACACACACACCGCACATACATACCATCACCACACACACACACACACACACACACACACCACCACCACCACACACATACACCCCATAACCGGCACACACACCCCATCACCACACACACCACACATACACACCATCACCACACACACACACCACAATCCACACCATCACCACACATACACACACCACACATACACACCATCACCACCACACACACACACACACACACCATTGCCACCACACACACACACACACACCATTGCCTCCACACACACACACACCATCACCCACCCCCACCGCCATCACCAACAAACACCTTTGAGACAAACTTTCCACATATAGCCCAGAATGGCCTAGAACTTGCAATCCTCCTGCCTCCACCTCATGAGTGCTGGGATCACAAGTGTGCTGCCATCCCTAGCTGTAGCAATGGCTTCATTTTTTTTTTTTCCTGTTTGTAACCCTGGCTGGTCTGGATTCACCCTGGAGACTAGGCTGACCTTGAATTCACATTCACCTTTTTCCCCAAATGGGATTAAAAAACACGTGCAACCACACCTGGCCTGGTGATGACCTTTAAAACATTGTATTTATATAATGTTAAAATAGCAATGAGTTATTAAGGACTAAGCTTTTCTGATCTTCAGGTACTGCCTAACTCTTCTCCCAGATATTTCCCTTGAATCTCACAAAGAAGACTAAACCTTTGTTTACAGTAGAAACATCTCAAGTTGCCCTGCAACCCCCTTGTGACCTAGAATTTTACCCCGTCACTTACATCCCTATTCACCAAGTAGGAGCTACCCTGTGATCTCAGACTCCTCAGCAACTCCTTGATGATAAATCTGAAACCCTTGGTGCATAAGGCGCCTAGAAAAACAAGCCAGGACTCTGAAAAGCTCAAGCTCTTGCCATGTCTTTCTTTCTGAGACCCTCTCTTCCTCTTAACCATAGAATTTAGAATGTACATTAAGGCTGGGTGGTGGTGGCACAATCTTTTAATCCCAGCACTTGGGAGGTCGAGGTCAGTCTGGTCTACAAGAGCTAGTTCCAGGACAGGCTCCAAAGCAACTCAAGAGAAACCCTGTTTAGGGGGGAAAATCTATATTAAGATCTCTTTTAATAAATTCCGATTCTGTTTAATATTTTATCATTTTGAAAGACTTTTTTTTTTTTTTCCAGCAAAGTCAAGAATCAGGTTTTCCCTGAATCCAGGTCCCTCTACTCAGACAGCTGGTGGCAGCCTGAGGAGCACCTCATCCCTGCTGACAACCCCCTTTTCCACTTTGGAAAGACGCTAAGGACAACCTTGAGCCTACTGAGATTATCCAAGATAGAGTCCTTGCTTAAGGTCAGTTGACTAGCAACTTGAATTCCATCTGTAGGCTGAATTCTCTTTTCCATGACCTAACATATGTTTCCCAGGACTTATTAGGTGAATATCCCTCTGTGTGTATGGAGGATGGGGTGCTGGGGGACAGAGGAGGGCAGCAGGGCCAGCCTGGGCTACACAGTGATTTCAAAGCCATTCTGGGTTACAGAGAGGAGCGAGACTGACTCCGACGACAATAAGAACAAACGCAACTACGAGGAGACGCTATGGCAACTCTCTTAACGTTGACATTCGCTAAAATGGAAAATTGCCGTTCTCTTGTGTTAAATTTATTTAACCTGGTTTAGCTTGTAGGCCAGCTGATAGGACTCAAGATCTTGATGAATCTTTTTATGAGGAGGGTGGGCGAAGTTCTTTTAATGACATCTGGAGATAGCGCGAGAGATTTCTAAGAGATTGAGTGGGTGAGAAGTGCCTATCCTTAACAGAAGCTTAGTGTAGAAAATTCCAGCAAAAGGAATCAAGTACCAAGCTTTCTCCAAGTCTAAAAAAGGACTAAGGGTTTTAATTACCGGGTCTCCATGTAGCGACACTACTGAAATGAAGAGACTAATTAGTGAAGTCTTCATAGGTAAATACTACATGATTCAATCTCAGAGCAGATATAACAAGATTATTCTATTATTCAATATGAATTAAAAATATAATAGCCAACAAAAGGTTAAAGGAACAGGTTCCACCGAGATTTGAACTCGGATCGCTGGATTCAGAGTCCAGAGTGCTAACCATTACACCATGGAACCAGTACAATAGCAGCGATGTCTTCGGGTTGCTAATACTGACAAAACCCCGCCCCTAACCGGAAACCAAATACTAAGAAACTGTGGCAGGCTTCCCTACATAGTTGAAGAAAGAACAAGCCAAAGAGCCGGAGCACTGTGGTCAGCTGGGCATTTTAAGGCTGTTTTCCCTGTTCGCCTTCCCAAGCCGGGTGAGAGTGCGAAGTTCATGCCTGGGCGTCCCACCCTATCCAGCTAAGGGGCGGGGCGCCATCTCTCCGGAAGTACTTCCTGCGAGAGGCTGGGGCCTGACGGAAGTGACGCAGAGCCAGGGCGGGGCTCTTCACCGGGTCCGGCAGCTGAAGCTCGGCTCTCGGGTTACCCCTGCAGCGACGCCCCCTGGTCCCGCCGCCGTCGCCACTGCCGCTCCCGCCCCTCAGCTCCTCGGCCGCGCCATGGGCACCCGCGACGACGAGTACGACTACCTCTTTAAAGGTGAGTCGTGGGCTGCCGAGTGCCCATTCGGGGGCCCGAGACACTCCCGGGGGACCCGCGCGAGGGCTAGCCCGGCCCGGGACGGAGCCCGCCTCAGCGCTTCCTCCCTGCCGCCCCGACGGGGGTCCCGCCACTCGCGGTTCCTGCGCCCCGGGGAGGGCTGCCGGGCCTTGTCGCCCCTCGCTGTGTGTCTTCCCTGACGGCTGCGTTCCTCACGGCCCGGGCAGTTTCTTCCCTGGGCATCTCGGGCCCCTCCTCTCGGATGCTTGCTGCCGGCCTCTCATCCCCTCTGACAGGCCCCTGCCTCGGCTCAGCACCCATAGTGGGGCGCCGACTCCTCTCCATGTTTTTTTTTTCTCCCCTTTTCTTTTCGCTTCCTTTCCCCTCCCTCCGGGTGAGCCCTTCCTGGGCTTCGGCCAGCTTCGCCCGTCCTAGGGCCCCCACCCCCATCCCCGCAGACCTCGAGGTCAGCACCCGCGGACTGCCCTCTCCCTCCCCACAGCCGGGAAACTCCGTGCTTTTCCTTTTCACTCAACGTTTAGCGCTCCGCCGCGACCTGGCTGGTGGGAGGGAGAGCAGGGGAGGGCAAGAGGGGGCCGTCCATCACCCCCGGCGTGCGCGCACTTGTCGCAGTGTCCGAGCGCAGGCGACTTCCCACCTGGCCTCTTTAACCCCCTTCCCACTCCCGTCGCTGCCCGGCTCCAGCCAGACGGGGGATGGCTCCCTTACTTTCGGGAAGGGGCTGCGGATGGGTGGTGGCTGTTATCCCTGCCAGACCTGAAGGCCCAGTTCCCGAACAGGAAAGGTTGCGCGCTGCACAAATACTAGCTAGCTTATCACCGCGGACTGCTTGCTTCCTGCTGCAATACTGGGAGGATCCAGCAGGAAGGGAAGGGCCCTGGTTGGTCCCGTACCTTTCCAAGCGGTGGTAGAGGGTTCTAGTGGTAGCGTGCTTTTAGTGAAATGAAGAATTTCTTGCAAGGTGGGGCCGGGGGGGGGGGGGTTGAAGCGAGCAGCGAGCGGGTGAACGGAACGTGGGAGGATGGGGAGTAGATAGAGAATTGCTTATTGGTTGAGTCCGGAAAGAAGCCAAAGTGAAAGGATACAGTTCTCAGCGAAAAGAGAGTACAGTGAACGCTTTTTTTTTTTTTTTTATGTTCATGAATGCGCTCTCACTTTCATAGTCTTGCCCTGCTCCTGAATTAGAAGGGCAGCCATCAGTAGTGTGCCGAACAAAGATCACTACCAGAGAGGAAGAGGCCATTGCTCTGAAAGCTTCTCTGTGGAGGGTGGAGTTTCAGGAGTGTTAAGCATGGTGTTTCTGACTTTGCCATTGGGTGCTAAGAGTGACTGACTAAATGATGAAGCAGGAAACATTTCTTTTCCTTACCAAATACTTCACAAGTCTTGCGTACCCGCTGCCGGTACATCCTTACCATTATTTACTCCTCCAAATATTCAATTTATAGGGTAAGGACCTTACGTGTCTATCCTTACTACCGTATTGGAAAACAATTTACAATAAGAAGGTACCAAACTTTAAAAATACTAATAGGAAAGCCTGGTGTAGTGGTCCCGCCTTAAAATCCCGGCATTCAGGAGGCAGAGAGAGGCTGATCATGTGAGTTCCCGGCCAGCCTGGTCTACATAGTGAGTGACACACATAGTGAGAGCCTGTCTCAAAAAAAAAAAAAAAAAAAAAAAAAAAAAAAAAACC